ACGATTTAATATAATTGTTCCTAATGATATTAATGGATAATATGTTTTTGGCCAAATTTTTGTTGTATCAAATGGATCAAATAATGAATTTTTCATTTCTTGTTCATTCATTTGTTGTATACATAATGTCCATGATGGTAAATCTTTATTAATACATATTGTATTATAAAGATCACGTGTAGCATAATCACTATCAAGACCAGCTAATACAAGTGCTTTAGTTGGATCAATTGAACATATACCTTGATTTGATTTAATATGAAAACGAACATATGATATATCATTATCACGTGATATAAATTTATATGTATTAATTGAATAACCATTCATATAACGATAACCATTTGGTATACCACGATGACTATAGAGTAATATCTAGAATACAAGATTGTTTATAATTATTTTATGAGAACAAAAAAAAACTATTAATAGAATCTCTACGGAACTAAAATATGAATTACAATGTAACTGTTGTTATTAATCGTAGGATAATTGTTCTATTTTTATTGATGTTAGGATTTATTTCTTCAATATCCTTTTGAAATGCAAATCAATAATGAGATGTTATTAATATATGATTAGTCGAGATATTGAACAATAAAATTAGTAAAGATAATTTTCTTATCATTGTGAAGAAATAATTCTAAGAGACCTAGAAAATCATCTATTCAAGGACAAGAAACATTAGACATAAGTATAAATACGAATGTTTATTGCACTCTTCTAACTGAATATAAAGCCTTACATAAGAGTAAGTAATAATTGCTGTAAAAATTCTCTATCATCTTCTATAAATTTTCCTTATTTTGTTTTTGGTACTTCTATCCGCCTACAGCTTTTGTAATTCGATGATGAATATAGTGCTTTTTTTTTTTCTCTTTTCGTAATATTTTGATATATTCAAAATGTATATATCAATATTATTATAATTTTCATTTGTTACATGTTGCTGTTAGTTTTGTATGTCATTAAATCAATGCCTACAGATACAGATTTATTAGAAATGAACATTTCTCTGAATCATACGGATCAATTTTTCATTATCACTAATTGTTATAACATCCAAAAGTCTCTCCTCTTTCGATCGTATATCAACCATCTATGAAATACGAAGTTCAAATTTTTATTCTCATATTTCAACAATCTTTTCCGATCATATTTCAAAACAAAATTATGAAAAAAACATCTTAAATAAATTGATTTATAGACAAGCGAGAAAATTACTTTATCGTATACAAAAAAAAAAAAAGAAATACGAGTAATTCTTTTTCAATACATACAAGACAATGTGTAGTTTCTGGTCTTAATGTTAAAAAATCCCAATAAGCATCATAATCAAAAAGATTTGTAACAGGATTTCGTTTTTGTGAATGTACAAGTGATGGATAAAGAATTGGATCACGAATAAAAAAAACAGGTAAATGATTACATATTAAATCAAAATTTCCACAATCAGTATAAAATTTAATTGCCATACCACGTATATCACGTATTGTATCTGAACTACCTAATTCACTACGAAAACGTGAAAATCTTATTACTATTGGTGTTTGTTTATTTCGTGTATCAAGAAAATTTGCACGTGTTAATGTTGAACCAATATCTGTTGTACATTGAAAAAATCCAAATGCACCTGAACCTTTACTATATGAACAACGTTCAGGAATTTTTTCTTCATTAAATTGACCTAATTCATCAAGTAAATATGTATCTTGTAAAAGTATTGGACCACGTGAACCAGCTGTTAATGAATAAACTTTATCACCAATAGGCATACCTGATAAACTAGTCATAAGTATAGGTTCATTATTTGAACGATATGTTTGTAATTGATTAGCTGCTACATCACGATTAAGTAAAAAAAGTGCTTCACTAGGTGATAATGTACTTTCAACAGTACCCGAAGATAGATTATTTACTTGATTTTGCATTTCAATTAGACAAATGAATAAATCATAGATTATGCTTAGCAACATAAGATTTGCTTTTTTTTTTTGTTTTTCGTTTCGAAATATGAGTATAAAATTCTTCTAACTGATTAAGATCAAATTTAAGTATATGATAAAATCAACAGTTCTATTTTATTGTCAATAATTATTGTCTTTACAATCAAACAGAGTACATTTTTTTTTTTTGTAATAAAATATAAATGACTATAATCATCATAAAACTTCATGACAATCGGTTGAATAATTTTTTTTTTTTTTTTCTTATTTATTCTCTTTGTTGCATAAAAAATGGCAATATGAGAATTGACTTCCGGAGTAAATAGAACTACAGTTAGAATGAAATGTTGTGTGCATATGGCATTAATTAACTATGTATGAGAACATAGGTGTTCTTAGATTGGTAAAATTAGAAATGAATAACAAAGACAAAAAAAAAACAAACAACGAATACAAATATGTTTTATAAAAATACTTTCGTATTTTATTACTATTAGCTTAATATTGATGATTGTTAGGTCTGTTCGTTTGTAATCTTCTACTCATGTATTTTACAGTTGTAATCGAAGCTTACTAAGTATGCGATTTTATTGAACAAAAAAACTCAGTTTATTTTTTCTCATTTATGTTCCTTTCGTATTTATAAGTATTTGCGTGACTACAATAATGATCAATATAGTTGTCAGTTGCATCAGAGAATTATTTTTTTTTTTTTTTGTTCTCAATAGCTTAAAGAGAGAGAGAGAGAGAAAGAAAGAGACATGGTAATATATTCCCGTTGTTGCTTTACGTTTCACTAACAAGTGAGCAGGTAGAATATCACGTCGTATATATTTACTTATGACAATCGTTGTTTTTTTCTAGTCTTCATTGAAATGCATAGAATAACAAATACACACATGTATGTTGTTGAGCCATTTTTCTTTTTTTTGCTTGAACTCTTCCTCTTCTTTTTACTTTTTTAAGATAATTTTACTTTTTTTTTCTTCCTGTTTTGTCAGTTTCTTTTATATTAATAAATCTAAAAGAAATGCTACCATTTGTTTCTCAAAAAACAAGAAAAAACCTACAAAAAAGTAGTTTCTCGATCATTCCATCATGAATACGAATATTTTGTACGAGAAATTAGTATATGAAAGATTGTAATGTATGTCTTACTACATCTTATTATTTATTATTTATATGAAAATAATCAGAGGATATGAATGATTATTTAATAATGCTTTATAGTTGTAGATCAAACAGGAACTTCTATTGTCTTTGTTCTTTGTAAATCTTCTTTGTTTACAAGGAAATACAAAAGTATACATGTAAATTATTATTTTCTTTACAATTTTATCGTAACTAAGTGTTAAAGATCCTTTCAATATTTTGATATACTTAATAAAACATTTGATTGAGCATGCATTGAATTATTTTTGTTATTCTTTTTTAACAATATGAACGTTGTAGATAGAAATGACAAACTAAAGATAGTTATTGAATAGAAACCAGACAAAGGTTTGTTAGTCTCCCAATATGTGAAACTAGACAGAACACAAAATAGAAAAAGCGATGAAGAAAGAGAAGAAAAATGGAAGAAGAATAGACGATCCAAAGATCGTAGAAAATTTTTCTTGGTTTTTTTTTTTTTGTCATGTGCTGATAGTTTCTCGTCGCGTACTTATTGAGCTAACTGACTGGAAAATTTTTTTATGTGTCGTTCCGAACGACTCGTTGTCCGGTTATTATATATATATATTTTTTTTTCTTTTTTGTTGCATACATATAAAACATCAATGATGATTATTCTGGCAAGATTATGGTTTCTTCGACAAATAAAATTCTTATTTTTAAAGTGTCGTTGTTCAACGTCACTCACATATATGAAACCTCTAGAGTGAGTGAATACATTACTTATGCTTCATTTTCTTTTTTTCATGAGCCACCTTAGAAGAAAAATTTTCAATCATATCAGTAGTTTGATATTATTATAACATTAAGAAGTAAAACATCATATATTATAATTAGAAACCTCAAGGCAATGTATCTTATTTTGAATGATAAAAATTGAATCTTGTTCAATGTTCTTTTCTTCAATAGAATAGGAAATTATTCATTTTTAATATATATATGATATAATGAGAAAAATGAATAGTATTGTTTCGGAAAGAAATTTATTTGACAGGCAAGATTTTATCATTATTTTTTTTAAACAAAACAATGTTAGTAATTATCATAGATCGAATCAGATGTTGATAATATAATGGATATAGAATCGCGTGATACAAATATTTATAAATAAAATTTATTTAATTGCAAATAATTACTAAACTTTTGTTTTTATCATATTTAAGTATAAATTCATTTGACTAATGTAATATCTTGACTGTAACGCATGAACAATTATTGTTTAGTTGAAAAGAAAAAAAAAAAACAAAATCACAAAACTTCAAAATAAGTTTATTTACAAAAAAAAGAAACCTTTGTGAAAAAAATATTTTGCAATTGACCTTCTGAATGTTTTTCTCAACAATATTATAAAATATGTACATCTTTTAAATAAGACATTTATCATAAACCTACAAGTCTTCGTTGTTGGTTATAATTAGATTGAATTCATCGTACACTAGCTTTTAAGTACTATCATCAGTTCATGTTTCATATGTTATGTCTAGTTCACTACTTTTTTTTCTATCTTACTTCTTTTTCTTTTTTTTTTATAATCATACGACGTGATCCGATTTAAACAGAATCTTGTTTATTCAAGCTTTTTTTTTTTTGTTCTTTCATTTTGCTGCCATGAATTCTATACAGTAGTTGCTATGCTGTTGTCTTTCATCGAATAGTCTCAACATAAATTTTCAATAGTTGAAGTACACTTTCGTTCTATCGTCAACATAGTTACCTCTATGATTTACTTTACATTTTCAATTTTCTTTCAGACAATAGACGTGTAAATTTATTCTTCTTTTTTTTTTTTTTCAATTTGATTCATTTTTCGTTTTTTTTTTTACTTTAAGAATGTATAATAATAATCTGCTATTTATGATGAATATTATTCGATAAATCTTAATGATACGCCCGACGATTAGAGTCGGGCATCAGCCAGCTATATGGCTTTTATTCATATTAAGTTTACGAAAATGTATTAAATTAAGATATATATTAATTATATTTTTATGTCTTATTGTATTTACTTATTTACATCTTAATAATAATGTATCAATAAATGAACAAATATCTAATAAATTAAAATTTATTAATAATGAAAAAGAAATTTTTAATCATGATAATAATTATCATCTTTTAGACAAATGTAATTTTGATACAATAGAAATTTTACTTCGATATAAATCAATAAAACAATTTAATAATGATACAAATGATAATCGTTCAAAACCAACTATTGAACGTTTACATAAACTTTTTTCAATACTTATTTTTCATGAAGAAAAATTTCGTAAAGTATTTGATTATTTAGGTATATTTCGTTTTACTGATTTATATAATTCATTACGTCCATTTGCAAATAATACGAAACGTTTACATGAAATTTATTGTTTATTTCAACGTTATATAACTATATCAGATAATGGTCATATTGATATAACTGAACATTTTATTTATTATTTAAAACAAATATCAAATTATTTATCAGATGGTTTTACCAGTGAACATCCAATATGGAATAACATATCAATTAAAAATATACAAAAACCGGTTATTATTCTTGCAGCTAATACACGTTTTTATGATACATTACAAGCATCAATGCGTACAGTTAATCAATATTTTTATAATTATAGTATTGCTATATATGATCTTGGTTTTGATCAAAATCAATTAACTATGGTAAAATATTTTATCGTTTTTTTTTTTTTCAAAAATCATAGAAAATATATTCAAGATTAAACATATAGACATTGAAGACCATTTAATAATTCGTTCTCAAGAAATTATTATTTTTTTTTGTGTACTCAAAAAGTGAGTACACTCTAGAATCGGTCAGTGTGTCCGGCCGTCCGTTTACACGATAACTCTTCACAATTATGTTCGATTATGCTAAAATTTTGTGCACAGAATTGTCTCATCAATATCTCGGTCGAGTTCGAAGATGAGAAGGATCCGTCAAGAAATGGCTGAGTTATCGAAAAAATTGTCATTTTTGACCAGACCATCCCTGAGGGGGGGTACAGGGATTTTTTCAAAAAAAAAAAAATTTTCTCAGAATTATTCACAACATATATAAATCGACTCAGTTTTTAACGCTGATTCCGAATCTGATATCAGTTTTAAACCAAATCGTAGCTTTCTAACAAAACATCGCCTGAAAAAGGTCTCAAAATGCACAAAAACTGCATCCAGAAACGGCAAATTGCCTAGATATGTCTCAGATAATAAAAAACAAAGTGAATATACCTGTTCACTTTTTGAAGTACACATAACACTCGAATTTAAATCCGAGGTTTTCGCATTTATTTTTAGTAATAAAAACATTAAGAATCAATCAAACATCTGACAGAGTTATTCTAGCCAATATATAGACTAATAGATTTTCTTCCTTTCAATATTATAAATTCTATAACGAGACAGTTTGGCAAACACATACATATAACTTGATATATGTCTTATATATTTTAAATCAATAAAAACTATGTCGATAGTTTCTTTTTTAAGTTATTTTGAAATGAATATCTAAATAATAAAATTAATTTTTTTCTACTATATCAAATATGCAAAAAGTATTGAGATCTAAATAACAAATCCATTAATGAAAGTACTTAAATATCAATAAAAGTGAGGTCAATGATGATCATGTTTCATTAAATGTCAACATATAAGTCAGTTAATAGGAAAATATATTGTATGATAATATATAGTAGTAAATTGATACAGAATTATTTTATGTCTTCAGTTAAATAAAAAAAAATTTTGATAAGAAGAATAATGAAAAAAAGATATATTCTATGATTAGTAATATGATGTTTCATATTCTAATCCCATTGGAATTATATGTGTTAAAAGCTTTGTTTGTTTAATTTTAGATTAAAGAAAATTGTGAACGATGTATGATAATTCCATTTCCATTTACTCAACTCGAATCAGTTGCTCCTCATATTCGAAATTTACCAAATTTTGCTTGGAAACCTATTATAGTTCAAGTAAAATTTTTGCAATTTACTGTATATATAAAATATTCTTATTATTTCTAGGATGCAGTACAACGTTTTGGTACAATACTTTATGGTGATACATCCGTTCGTTATTTAACATCTAATTTTAATCGTATAATAATTGATAATTTAATACGTGGTTTTGCATGTCGTGAATTACCTGGACATTATTTATCATGTTATACTTTATCAGGAACATTTTCATGGTTTAATGAAACATCATCTTCATTTGATGATATATATATAGCTGAAGCAGGTTTTGTAGCTGTTACAGATAATTTTCTTTCACGTCTTATACTTAAAACATGGGTTACATGTGCACTTGATATAAATTGTATATCACCAGGTAATTCTCAAACAAAATGTAAACATATGAGTCAACCATCAGGTACACATCGTTTTGATCAATCAGCTATGGTTGCTGTATTATCATTTTATTTTTTTCAAAGTTCACGTCAAAATGATAAAACTGATCCAGCACCTTATGATATGTTTTCATCAATACAACAAAAAGTAGCTGAAGTTCGACGTTTTGAAGGTGATCATAATTATTTTACACATGGAAAAAATTTTAATAATAAACAGAACAGTTTAACAACAACAACAACTATAAAAATGATATAAAATTTTAATAGTTTTTTTTTTCTCTACAGTGAATGAAAATCAAAATTGTTATGTGCTTGATGTATGTTAAAAAATTGTGATATTTTTATTTATCAAGTGAAATTTTCACTTTGTTATCTTTTGTTTTTGTTAATTTAATTTTTTTTTTTTTCTTTTTATTCTATATAAAAAAAAATACAATAATAGAATATAATATTAAGTTTATTAAATTTTTTGAATATTAAATAAAAATACATTCAAATAATAATAGTTACAAATATTTTATTTTATGTAAGGAAATTATTCTTATTTTGTTTTTTTTTTTGTACATGAAAATTATACTAGTCGACAATCTTGATATCGTTCTTTCCAGATTCTTGCCTGAAAAAAAACAGATCTGGACCTTCTGCAAGATTCATATAGATCGAATCTTGTCTGGCGAAGATAAAAAAAGCTTCACCAGGCAAGATTCTTTTTGTTTTTTAATTGAATTTCACGTGTTTATTAGAAAAATCAAATGTTGTTTAACTAGAATGTTTCTTGTTTGTTTAAATGAATAGAATAACTTTAACTTATTGTTATTTAAAAATAAAATATTCTACGAATATAGATACCCCGTGCATAAGATATATCGTGATCTGTTTTTTGAAAATTAAATTAAAATCTTTTTCCTTTTTTTGTCAATAGAATCTTGTCTGAAATTCGTAATATTTTTGAATTCTTTTTCAGATTCTTGTGAGTCAATCAAGACTCTTGTCTGGTCAATAAGAATAAATCCAAGAACGTCGACTAGTGATACTTCATTTCACTCTATTTTTTGTTGCACTTGGTGTAACGATATGAAGACACGAAATTAGACATAGAATGATTTTTCATTCAAAATAAAAGTGTTTAAGGTCTGGTTTAGTACTTTCATGTCGTCACATCGACTAGAAGAAAAATAATAGATTGATGATCGATATTAAGTGTTGACTCAAAGATTTATTTTTTTTTTTGGTTTTAGTCTCAATAAATCCAATCTATTTTTCAATTCAATAAGTCTCCGAAATTGCTACGATTTGCAAAGAAATAAAGCTGTTTGAATTGATAATACTCGAGTATTTGGCCTATTTGATGAACACTCTATCATTCTTTCGTAAATGTTAGAAATTGCATTATCTCGAATGTCATTCACATAAGAGTTAATGTCTTCAGTTTTTTCTTTTGATTGTTTCTTATAGTATATTCTTTATTTTTTCTTTCCTATTTAACAATTGTTGTTCTTCTCGTCTTTAAATCGCTTCAAATCAAGATATATTCATCAATCTATAAATAGATGTTTAATAATTTTCAATATCGAACATATTCTAAGTTTTGATTAGAAATTCAAGAAAACAGATTTATCTTATGTTTCTAGCAATTTATCATTGATGGATGTAATCAGTTTCGAATATCGTTTCGCTAGTTATTCTTCGATTTTTATCTCATGCAAAATAAAGATCTAAAAATCAATTAGAAATAATGCAAAAAAAAACAAAAGAATTGATCATAGTTGATATAAACAATTGACAAGAACTAGATCTAATCTTGTATCCTTATTCAATATATTCTTTCAAAATGATCTGAAGAAACATCAATATCCGGATCGATCGAAACGGCTATCCGTATTTTCACAGCATACGGGCCGTATCGATTGACTTGTGTAGTTAGTTTAACACAGAGATGTCCATCGCGGCTGAAAATCTGCCGCTGCTGCGCGGCGGCCTTAGAAAAAAAAAAGCTGACGCACCGCAGCCGCGCCGCGACGGTTTATAAAAAAATGTTGCCGCGATGGCTTATAAAAAAAACCTTGCCGCGCCGCTGCCGCGATGAATTATAAAACAAAACGTGCCGCCGCCGCGCCGCTGCCGCGGCGGTTTACAAAAAAGTGTTTCTAATTTCACTGCTGCGACTATATTTGACCAGAGATATTGGTACTAGTCCATCAGATTCATTCAGTCTCGGGGTGTTTCATTTGTAAACCCTGAAATTCTATTAAATTCATGCAGTTTTTCAATGGTCCCCAAAAAAATCCTGCCGCTGCCGCGGTGATTTTTTAAAAAACCTGCCGCTGCCGCTGCCGCCACAGGCCATTGCGGCAGCGCCGCCATGGACATCTCTGGTTTAACATATCCTCTAAAGTTAGTAATCAAAATATTAGTATTATATATGAAAATCTCATTTGACTGAAGCTATTTTAATTACTATGATATGTCCATGAACATTTAAGTATCTACTGCCCTCTATCTGTTTTTTATTTTTTAATATTAGTTAGTTGACATATGCAAACAATGGCAAATACCGACCAATAACGAACCAATCAGCTGTTTTTATGTACTATAACCCTTTTCTTTCATTTTACTTTTGTTTGAAAATAATACTTTAAAATTGTGTTGAAATAATATATATAATGCGTCATTCTGATTTTCGTGGTTTGGAAAAAAATGCTCAAACACTCGATGAAGAATATGATGGTGTATTAGCACGTTCTGTTGATGATCATTATAATTATCCAGTATCACCAATAAGTCATGGAGAATTTATGGCTGATGGTTCAACAAGAAATGAACATTCATTATTTGCATTTGTTGCACCAAAACAAAAAAAAGATAGAAAAAGTAAAAAAAATAAAGGTACATCAATTGTTAATAAAGTTGTAGAAGAAGAAACAACTATTATTCAAGAAGATTTACAACCAACTAGAGGACGTCTAACAACACGTGAAGATTTTGATATACAATTTGATATGGAACCAGAAGATGATATAAGAAAATCAAAAAAAGAAGGTAAATTCTTTCTGTTTTTTTTTTGTTTTCTCAAATTAGAAAAATATTTTAGCTAAACTTAATCGTCAATCTGAACTTGAAACAATACCTACTCGTGTAGCTACATTAAAAATAAGTGAAAGACCTGATCGAAGTATATCACCACAAAAACAATCAAAATCTACAATTGATTCTCCAAGTGTTACACCACGACAAGGTGTTTCACCAAATCCTATTTCACGACGAAATGAAAATACATCATCATCATCAGTAATATCAACATTAAAACGTCGTCCAATAGCAGCTGATCGTACAAATACATTACGTGATTATAATGAACGTTTAGAAGGACGTGATTTATTAAATTTAGTTGTTGTTGGTCATGTTGATGCTGGAAAATCGACATTAATGGGTCATGTACTTGTTAAATTAAAAGTTGTTGATGATCGTACAATGCATAAAAATAAAACTGAAGCTGCACGATTAGGTAAAGATAGTTTTTCATTTGCTTTTGTTTTGGATGAATCTGAAGAAGAACGACAACGTGGTGTTACAATGGATATTGCTCAAGCTCAATTTAAAACTAAAACAAAAATTGTTAATCTTGTTGATGCACCAGGACATAAAGGTAATTCAAAAAAAAAAACAAAATCTCATCTATTTCCGTCTATTGGAAATTAGTCAAGTGCTAATATTTTATTTCATTTCAAAATAATAAGTAAATGACACAAGATTAGAGATGTGTGGGACCAAATTTTTTTAGTTTCGGACTTGGTTTTGGTTCCATTCCCAGTCTTAATAATCTTAGTTTTTCGGTTATTTATCCATATTCAGAGAAGCTGTTGCAGAATCTGGAATAGTTCTCGAATACTCATATTTCCTATGTTTTGTTGTCCACGGCAGACATGTACGGAACTAAAATTTTTTTCGCTTCTGGCCCCGGTGGCTGGGATCGAGACCCACACCCTCCGGTAGACCATAAAAGGTTATGATTATCCAAAAAAGACTTGGGGCTCATAGTTAATTATTACTGATATATCGTATTTCTATAGTCCTTGTTAATACAAGGTCTCGCGAATACTAGGAAAATGTGATTTGTAACATGAAACTTTACATAGAAATAAAATCTTAATGAGAATAATTTTTTTAAATAATGTAAAAGATGCATTTTTATTATGACTTTATTTTAGAACAGAAAGAATAAAAATATCTGAAATTTTCGTAATAAATTTGGTTTCTATACAACGTTTCAAATCAAAATTCGAAAAATTGATTTTTGTTTTTCAGTTGAGAGACTTCTCTTGTTGATGTTAAGGATAAAACATTATATGATTAATAATGAAATATTCACTATTATAGTTATTTAGTTAAATATGATTTTTAATTAATAATTTCTCTATTATTTTTTAGAATAGAAAAAAATGTAAGTTAAGTTTATATATATAAATAGTATTTATTCTATAATTGTAGTTATGATAAAATAATTTTAATAATGAAAGATACAACGATAAAAAAACAAATATGTTTTTTCCTTTTTTTGTTTTAAATAGATTTTATACCAAATATGATAAATGGAGCAGCTCAAGCTGATGTTGCTATACTTGTTGTTGATAGTCGTCGTGGTGAATTTGAAACTGGTTTTGAATTTGGTGGTCAAACACGTGAACATGCACTTTTATTACGAGCACTTGGTGTATCACAATTAATATGTGCTGTTAATAAAATGGATACAATAGAATGGTCACAAGAACGTTTTGAAGAAATTGTTAAAAAACTTTCAAGTTTTCTTAAATCATCTGGTTATAAAGAATCTGATGTAACATATGTACCAGTTAGTGGTTGGACAGGAGATAATTTAATTACACCAAATAATCCACCATTATCATGGTATCAAAATAATGATAATTTATTAAATACAAAATTAAATGGTGTTATATGTGGTGCAACATTAATTGATTTAATTGATCGTCTTAAACCACCTGAACGACCTATATCAAAACCATTTCGTCTTTGTATAACTGATGTATATCGTGCAACAGGTATTGGTGCTGGTACGGTATCAATATCAGGTCGTATTGATTGTGGTGGTATTGAAATAAATGAACGTCTTCTATTACGACCATCAAATGATCAAGTAACAGTTAAAACAATACAAATTGAAAATATAAATGTATCATCAGCATTTGCCGGTGATAATGTTACACTTAATATACAAGGTGTTGATCCAACACATTTATTTATTGGTAATGTTATTTGTGATCCGGAATATCCAATACCATGTGCAACAATAATACAAGCACGTATAATTATATTTAATATATTAGTACCTATATTACCAGGTACACCAATTGTATTTCATTTTAAATCAATGCAAGAACAAGGTAAAATAACAAATCTAATTGAAGAATTAGATCGTTCAACAGGTGAACTTAAACGAAATAATCCACGTTTATTAACGAAAAATTCAAGTGGTGTTATTGAAATAACATTACAACGACAAATATGTTGTGAATTATATTCAGATGTTAAAGAACTTGGACGTTTTATGTTAAGACAAAGTGGTTTAACAATGGCAGCAGGAATTATAACTAAAATTATTGGTTGAATAAAAAAAAAACAAAATAAAGAATATATATATAAAATAAATTTTGTTTTGTTATTTTCATTCAGTTTTTTTTCTTTTGTTTTTTTGTCCTTATTTTAGATGTTAACTACTATTATTATAATAGCTATTGGTTTAACATTTTTAGCACTTATTTTAACTATTATTTGGTTATTAAAAATTTCAGGACTTTTTACATCAATTAAAATACAAGTTCTTCAACCATCATTTGAATTTTTAACAATTGCATATAAATATCAACAAGGAGATTATTCGAAATCAGCAGATATATTTCGAGATATTCTTAATTATTCACCATCACATTCAACTATTGCAATTTATTATGATAATGTAGATGTTGTAAGTTAAAAGACACAAAAAAAAAATAATAGAAAATATTTGTATATTATTGTGAATTTCTTTTCATTTTAGAACTAAATGTTTGGACTAGAGTCATTTTTTTTTGTCATATAAATATTAATGATACTTCGAAAACTAATATGATATATTCAAATTAAGAACTGTAGGATACAGATTGTTCTGACAACGCCTATTCGAAAAACCAAAACATCCTTTTTTCGGTTTACGATATCTCGAACGCGCAAAACCAAATTTCTCTCTCGATACTCATTCAATGTATTTATTTTTTTGTTTGAAAGAGCACCTCCGGATGCAATGCAGTTCAAACAAAAAATTTAAATACATCACACAGATCTGGATTGACAAATTTGGTTTGCTAAATGTGCTATTTTTTAGCCTTGTTTTGCTGATATCTCGCCAAAACATTATGGTATCAAGTTGAACATTTTCACACTAACCGCAACATATCCTGAAAATTTCATATCATTTGAATGTTCCTGGGCTGAGATCGATTTTTAAGGGGGCCTGAAGAAAAATGAAAAACAAGCGAATAGCAACAAGGCAAATCAAAAATTAGAGCACTAATGAAAAAAAGAAATTTTCTGTGGGAAATGCAGATTTAAATGAGACAAATTCCACTAGACGAGGAATCATATGTGAGTTCCATATTTTAGCCTGTACTGACAAGTTTTTCTAAGAGAATGCTAGAAATATTTTCGCTTCTCTTGGAAAAGGATGGAAATTATTCACAATTGAAAGAGAGTACTACACCTCGAACCAGAGATGTCCATCGCGGTTGAAAACTGACCGCTGTCGCGCCGCGACGATAAAAGAAAAAAGCTAACGCGCCGCTGCCGCGATGATTGTTAGAATAATGTTGTGAATTTTACGATCTGTGACTGTTCAGGACTAGAGCTGTTGTTACCAATCGATAAGATTCGTTGAATCTCATAGTTTTGCACTTGCAAACATTGAAATTCTGTTCGAATTCATGCATTTTTGCATTGTTCTCCAAAAAAACCTACCGCGCCGCACCGCGATGGACATCTCTGCCTCGAACACGCTTCCCGTTAGACCAATTCAGCCCATTAATCGATTGTTATCATTGCAATGTTTATTTTTGATTTAAATATATGAAAATAATATTTCGTTGTAATTTTTGAATAATTTTCATAGTTTATTTATTTTAAATTAGACACCAGTTGAACAACGACGTTTTATTGTTGGTATTATTGTTGATGAAACAAAAGATGAAACTATAATTGAACGAATGAAAACAGATGATTACAAAATTTTTAAACTTCCAAAATCTGTCCAATCAGTTTATACAACATTTCCATTTAATAGTGTTTTTTCTGTTTCTATTGCAAATTCAAGAGTACCTTCACGTTTAGCATATTTTATTGAGGTATATGATAGAATTTTATATTTTTTATAAGAATTATTAATAGACTAAATTTTTTCTTTTTTAGACAAATAAATTAGATGCTCATCCTTTTATAGAAATATACGAACCAACATTAATTCATTATTTTGTTCCGTTGAGTAATTATGAAAATTATAATGTTCCTGAAATAATTTCTGAATCATCTTAAAACAAAGATATAACGAACAAAACCAAAAAAAAAAAACATTCATATCTTCTTTTTTAGATAGAAAAATTTTTGTTTTTTTAAATAGTGTAAATAATAAAAAAAACAAATGGCTAATCTTCCTTGGTTAGTAAATTTAATTAAATTATAGAAAAAAAAAACATAATTAATTATTTAGGATTGAAAAATATCGTCCTGCAACACTTGATGAACTTGTATCACATAAAGATATTATCGATACAAGTAAATATTTATTATTTTTAATTTTAATCTACTTTTTTTGGTCTATAGTTAAACGTTATATGACACTTGGTGAATTACCACATTTACTTTTTTATGGACCAGCAGGCACAGGTTTGTTTGTTTTTTTTTGCATAAATGTATATTATGAAAATGAGTATTTTTCTTAGGAAAAACAAGTACAATATTAGCATTGGCTAAACAAATGTATACACCATCAGAAATGCGTGGTTGTGTACTTGAAGTAAATAACAAAAAAAAAAACTTCTACTAAAGAACTTTTATATTTTATATAGTTAAATGCATCTGATGATCGAGGTATTGGAATAGTACGTGATGAAATTCAAACATTTGTTAGTACACAAACTCTTCATAAGTATAAAACATATTAAAAATTTTTTGTTTTTTCATAAGTCTTTGTTTGTTTTTTAGAAAAAGTATTAAATTAATTATTCTTGATGAAGCTGATGCTATGACAACTGATGCTCAAAATGCTCTTCGTCGAAGTAGAATGTTCTTTTTTTGTTTTTATTCTTTATTTATTTATTTTGTTCTTGAAAAGTTATTGAACAATATACATCAACAGCACGTTTTTGTTTTATTTGTAATTATTTATCAAAAATAATTCCAGCTGTACAATCACGTTGTACAAGATTTCGATTTGGTCCATTATCGAATGAACAAATGATGCCTCGATTACAATATGTTATTGAACAAGAAAAGTTAATAGAAAAATTAAATAAAAACCAAAAAAAAAAATAATTATTTATTTATTTAGTGTACAAATTGAATCTGAAGGTAAAAAAGCAATTCTTCAATTAGCTAATGGTGATATGCGACGTGCATTGAATATTCTTCAGGTATGATTTCTAAGATTACGAAAAAAACAAAAAAAGATAAATTTCAAAAGTTAAAATATTATCTTAAATAAATGTTCTTATTGTACAATCATAAATTTTTCTTTTTTTCGCTTTTATAAAATAATCCAAACATAATGATTTCAATAAATACGAGCAGTGTTTTATCCAGGATTTTTTCTCCGGAGTAGACCCCGTCGGGTAGGACCCGAACCCGGGTCCAAAAATTTTATTTTGACCGGGTTCTGGTCTGAAAATTTTGCTTTGACCGGGTCCGGGTCGAGTCCAGGTCTGAAGGAAACTTTGATCCATACAATTTATTTTGAATTTTTTTAAAGTTTTGTTCGTTTTATACAAAGAAGAAATCAAATGTATTTAGAAAATAGATAAAAAACAACAAAACGCTTCTTAACTATACTATCTAAACTGACTTGTCATTGTGTTTGGATCCAAAAAATTTAAGCGGCCGGGTCCGGGTCTGGCTCCAGCAAACTGTAAACGGGTCCGGGTCCGGGTCCAAAAATCCTGGACCAGGATTCGGGTCCAAAAATTCTGGACCCGACGGGGTCTACTCCGGAGGGGCGATTTGAATTTCCGAGGGGGCAAGCCATGTATTCGTAGCACGATTATCACAAGTCTCGGGAGGGCGAACTCGATTTTCGGGGGCCGCCCCCCCCCCCCCCCCCCCCGGGTACCCCTCTAGATAAAACACTGAATACGAGATCAAATGTTTGATATATCTCTGCTCTGAAACTTTTCTAATAAGAAAAATTCGAATAATAAGACTCTTATAAGTAAAATCTAGAAATTTTAAATAATCATTTTTTGTTTATTTAGAGTACTCATATGGCATCAGGTTTAGTAACAGAAACTTCAGTATATGAATGTGTTGGTCATCCATCAAAGAATGATATTAAAATAATTATAAATGTTTTATTGAATGAAAATTTTACAGTTGCATCACAAAGTAAACTACAAAAAAAAGAAAGATTAATAATTTAATTATATAATTTTTTTATAAGGATTATCAACATTAAAAACAACTAAAGGTTATGCATTAGCAGATATTCTTACTGAACTTCATCGATATGTTCATAAAAGTAATTGATAATAATTTTCAATTAAATAAAATTTTTTTGGTTTTTTTAGTTGATTTTCCTCGTGAAATTCGTATATATCTTCTAATTAAAATGGCTGATATTGAGTAAGATTAATTAAACAAAAAAAAAAAGACAATATCATTTTGATTCTATAGATATCGTTTAGCAAATGGTGCTACAGAAAAATTACAACTTAGTGCACTTATATCTGCTTTTCAAAAGGCTCGTCATGTTGAAAATTCATAAATAGTATCTTCATTTTTCTTTTTGTTTGATTCAATATAGGTAACAAAAAAAAAGTAAAGCAAAACAATTATGTCAGATAGTTCTTTATATAAATAAAATGATGAAAAACAGAAAATTTTCTTTTTTTTTGTTTGTTTTTATTTAAAACAATAGTAGTATTTGTAATACCGATTGAACAAGAAAATAAACAAGGCAAAATGTTGATGAACTTGAATTAAATTGATTTAAACCAATTTTACAACGTGCATCTGTTGAATGACGTGTACATCCATCAACACCACCTGGACAATTGATATTTATTTGTGAATAAAGATAACGTTCAAGTTGTTGAAATTGACTTTGTATATCTTGTTGAGAACATTTATCAAGACGAGATTTTATACAACGAAAATAAACTGTTGCTTGTTGACACCAACTACGTTTATTAATATTATTCCATAATGGATTAAATTTAACTGTAATTGCTAATGGTTGACATAAATTATTAATTGTTTTTATTTGACATAAATCATTTGGTAAAATTTCTTGTATAGGAGATAAACCATTATTATGAGTTTTAATTGATACACTTGTTAGAGTATTACCACTACGTACAGAATCAATTGTTTCAATTTTTTTTGGAGATTCCCATATAATATTAAATTTATAATCTTCTATTTTATCACTACAAAAAGCTAATAGATCATCAACACGTTTACGAATGCCTAAAATAGAATGAAAGATATAATGTCAATTAAAAATTTAGTAAATAATATTTAGAAAGTTTTAAAAATATTGTAGAGTTGTCGTAGCTTCAAAACAGAGATGTCCACCGCGGCTGAAAATCTGCCGCTGCCGCGCCGCGACGGTTTATAAAAAAATGTTGCCGCGACGCTGCCGCACCGCGATGACTTATAAAAGAAACGCTGCCGCGCCGCTGCCGCGATGAATTGTAAAATAAGCGTGCTGCCACCGCGCCGCTGCTGCGACGGTTTTCAAAAAAGTGTTTCTAATTTCACTGCTGTGACTATATTTGACCAGAGATATGGGTACTAGTCCGTCAGATTTATTCAATATCAGGGCGTTTCATTTGTAAATCCTGAAATTCTATTAAATTCATACAGTTTTTCAATGTCCTCCAAAAAAAATCCTGCCGCTGCCGCGATGGTTTTTTAAAAAACCTGCCGCTGCCGCGATGACTTTTAAAAAAATCTGCCGCTGTCGCGGTGATTTTTTAAAAAACCTGCTGCTGCCGCGCCTTCACCGCCATCGCGGCAGCGACAGCGCCGCGATGGATATCTCTGCTTCAAAACTTAATCATACGGATTTTATTTTTGTTTTCTGTAATGATTATTTGTATAATAAATTTAAATTATATTTTGAGTACAAAATTTTCAAGTTTCAAAGAAATAAAATACTTAATAGTAAGAATTTTTACTATTTGGATTCTTTATGTGAGTTAACATTACAGAAAAAATTAAATCTATATGACCAATTTTTTTAAGTCACTGTGTAATAAACATAATCGTTCTGAAAAATGATAGTTTTCGAAAATCTATAATATATCTCAATTGAATTTCTCACTATAATAAATTTTTTATATATTAATAGACAATAAGTTTATTTTCATAAATCTATCTATTAGTTTTAAATTCATACATATTTTGTTATTATGTTATATGGATCGAGATTCAATATTTATTTTTTCTACATTGGATGAATATCGCTTATATTAAATAAATATCAGCATCAGACAATCCAATTAGATGGAAGTCGTTCGAAACCATTATTCAATCATAATAATAAGTCTTCCGTCATTACTTTCATAAACTTTTTTCTCATTATCGAAAGAAGAAAATCAATAGCGCATATCACAAATATGCTATTATCTATCCAGCTGATCTATATTATGATCGATACTCCATATAAATAATTATATTTTCTTTGTTAGAGTTCAGATGAAATATATATTGTAGTGAAAAAATAATTCTCTGTACTCTCCTGATATATATACCCGTTGTCAGAAAAAAAAAGCAAATAACAGTAGTCTAAAGTAAGAAAAATAAGCGAAGGAGATTCAATTAAGATGTAATGCTCGACTATTGTTTGAATAACTTTTGATAGGAACATCATAGAGACCTGAAGTTTTCATCATTTAAGAGAGAAGACTCGAAACTATTGAAATTTGATTGATCAACAATTTTCTGTCGATCTACATTATACGGACATTTGTAGATTATTCCATTCGAGAGTTATAAGACTTTCGATTTCAGTCAATTGACCTGTAATCATCCAGAAAAACAGTATTGATTCGGATGGTGATATTAGTTTCTAGGACGCTGTGATGATATGTTGATCCTTCGTTACAGAGAGACTGATTATGGAATTATTGAGTCAGATTATTTCGAACGAAAAATACATACAGGTCAATTAGCTGAAATCGAATGTCTCAGGAAAAGTCTTACAACTCTCGAACGAAGCAACTTAGAAGTTACAGCCTTGTAGGGATCGAAATGAGTAGATCTGTCGCATATTGGTTTCAAAAGTCTTTACCAAGAATTCATTTGATTGATCAATCGATGACTAACCGCAGTTCTCTATTATGTTCTTATCAAGTGTTATTCAGAAAACAACGAAACGAATTATATTTTCAAAATTGACAATAGATATCGAAGAATGACAGATTTTTTTCAATTTTCACAATAAACCTTAAAGACTTGAATATAATTTTACTACTAAGCTTTTGATAAGATTTGTTTATTTCCTAATAGTTTTATTTGTTTTCTTTTTTTCGAAAAACTGAATTATAAAAGAAATATTTCAAATAAATTTCTTACCTTTCATCATTGATTCCATCGCAACTTCATATTTTTCTTTATTTTCACAACCACGATATTTTTTATGAACACATTCAAAATAAACACGTGATGCAACACAATATTTAATTGCATCGGATTCTCGAAGATCTTTTTCTGGTTTTTGACCACATGCACGTGAACCCATAACATCACATGTATTAATTTTTGATATTAATATACATAAGAATATGTAGAAAAATGAAAAAAAACTTGATAAATAATCGTTCTTCATTTTATTTCATTGAACAAACAAAACAAAATCAAATGGTTTTTTATATACAAGACATGAATAATTCTCGATGTTACTTGCACGTTCTTATCCAAAGTGAGATTATAAGAAGTATGTAATGATCAAATGGAACAATCGAGATAGACAGAGAACAACAAAATTTCTACATAGAAATCGACTAAACTTTTGTTTCTCTTCGTTATTTTATCGATAAATGATTGTGTTGCATCAACGAAAGAATTATCAAGCAAAAAAAAAATTTAGCGTACGATTAATCGTCGTCGACATTTTCTTATTAAACAAACAATAGAAGCTTTAGTCAACGACAATCATGAGAATGAACAAATATTTATCTAATACCAAAATTGATGTTTCGTAATCAATATCGAAAAATAAAAAAAGTGTCTGTCTATTGGATATAATGAATTTTTTACTTTCAAACTTGATTTAGATATATATTCTATTGGAATATTATCATTAGGTTTTATTTTCTTTGTAAAAATACATTTGTTTTTCTTTTTTTAATCGTATATGACAATAGTAATATCTATCTTTACTAGATAATCGAATGTTATCTTGACAAAAAAGAAAGTTAAACATCAATAGGATCAGACATGTTATGTTTGTTCGGCAGAAATGATAAATTTTTCATCTATTACAAACACAATTTTAATTTATTTAACTAAAAACTATTCGTCCATTTGTCTGTAAATTCTGTTGTCTTAAATATTTTTTTTTTCGGAATAGAATATTATTTGTATGAGAATTGTTTGTAAAATAGAATTACAAAATTTTATGTTAATACTAGTGTCCTGCGGGAACGACTTTTTCTGATTCCCATTCCCTATTCCCATTCCCTAAAAAAAAATTTTTGTTCCCCTTCCCTTTTTCCCATTCCCTAAAAATTTTTTTTTGTTCCCATTCCCTAAAAATTTTCTTTTGTTCTCATTCCCACGTTCCCATTCCCATAATTCCCATAAGGTTTTCCAAGGCTCTATTATCTATGCGAAAGTATCATTGGCATATATGTATACCAGTTTCTCGAGACATCACGTTTTGCGCATCGCGACGTTGTTACATAGTGCTTCACTTCTTTTCTTTTCCTGTTTTGTTGCTCTTGTTGGCATTGGTTAAGCAGGTGTTCCTTCGTATATGCACTATACATATACATTCAAGCTGGTGTCCCTTTTCATTAAAAAAGTGTTCCACTGTCTAATTAGAAAATGTATAGTCAACATAGTGTTCATCATATAGAATGTTCCTCTTATAGTAAAGTGTTCCCCTCCCCTCACCCAAATAGAAAATTAAAAAAGTTATAAATAAATATTGAGATTATTATTGATAAATCATTTGTTTTTTGTTGTAAATAACCTTAATATTTATTTATAATTGTTTTTATTTTCTATTTGGGGGGAAGGGAGGGAGACACTTTACCGTAAAAGGAATATTCTCTCTATATGATGAACACTATGTTGGCTATACATTTTCTTATTAGACGATGGAACACTTTTTTAATGAAAAGGAACACCAGCTTGCATGTATAGTGCATACACGAAGGAACACCTGCTTAACCAATGCCAATATTTGTGATGATTAAATTACGATGTGGTTAAGAACCAATAAGCAGTCTATTTTTTGCTGATACACATTTGTTATTTTTCTGTTAGTTGTATATGAATAAGAAAAGTTATTGAAAATAAACAGTTATCAGATAGAAATATTTTTATGCGTATTGAAATAAGATAGGAGGAATTTTGGGAACGTCAATTTTTAATTCTGTTCCCATTCCCATGTTCCCATTCCCTAAGTCTAAATGGGAATTCCCATTCCCATGGGAATGGGAATGGGAATGGGAATGGGAAAATTAGGGAAAAAAGTCGTTCCCGCAGGACACTAGTTAATACTCTTATTTAGTTTCTTTGGTGTCTAATCAAAAAAATATTTCTTGAAAATTCACTTCTAATAAAAGCAAATACTCTTGACTCTATTAAGAACTATGGTAGTGTTCAACAACATTTTTACTACATCTTAACGAATTGATATTATTACTATCGATAAAGATATCGTCTTTATTCGAAATTACTCAATGAATATCTTGAAAGAAAATTAAAATTATAGTCTATTAAAGAAATTCTTAAATATGTTGCTTTATTTAGTTGAGATATACTAATTCAAATTTCAATTTTTGACTTGATAATGAAATAAACTATATCCACTGTTTTGTTTATTGGTTACGAACATATATTAAAAGGTAACCATGCTAGCTTATTTATTGCTAAAGTCCATCTATCATCTCCTTACTATAGTAAGATAATTAAAGGATTAAGACCGATAGACCGTTCTTAACAATAAATAAAAGAAGCGAACCGTGGAGAAGATTTATTCTTTGTTTAGTGCAATTTTCTATTTTTTTAAGAGTTCTAAGATTTTGATAACTTAAATTTCAATATCATTTGTATATTCAACATTCAATTCTTTTTTCATAAAAACAATGAATATTTTAAATCTCAAATAACTAAAACAGAACTTCTTCAATGACATGATATTAATTATGAGTTATTGGCATTGATTTTGATAGATAGAAAAAAAGTAAACAAAAATATGTCAAATGTTATTAATTTAACCGACATGACCAAAAAATTGATTAGTAAATGAAAAGAACAAATAAGAACAAACGTTTTCTTTTTAAAACTTTTCAGCGACCTCTTTCTGTCAGTATTTTTGTTTCTCTCTCTTTCTCTCTACATCAATTGGATCATACGCAACTAGAGAAAAAAAGTTGATTGACTGATAGGTAGATAGTAAACGACCATCGGTCAAAGTTTTTTTTTTGTTGTTGATGTCGTAAATTAAGAAACTAATAATTAACTTTAAAAAAAAAACAAAAAAATCTATCTTTTATATTTAGTTGTCGTTGATCAGTAATGCATGGCTACTATTTATTATTCTTATTATTATTTTAAATAGTTATGAACAACAACAATAATAATACGCCATTATCAAATCGAGTTTGTTCTGTTATTTTTTTTTGTTTTTGTTTTTTATAAATTTCAAAATTTTTATTTTTAGTCGGATGGTACCGATTCAGGTTCAATTATTTCTTCTATTTATTCTTCTAACAGTATATCATCTACAACAACATCAAATAATTCTTTAATAAATCGATCATTTTCACAACAAAATCCAATAACAATGAATTCGGATATAGATTCATCTATAATTAATAATACATGTTTACAACCAATTGATCAACGTCGACAAATTATTCATCATCTTGCTCTTTTACTTCATGCACATAAATGTCTTCAACGTGACCGACAAGCAACTAATAATGGTGATATTCATGACACAACACATCAAAATATTTGTACAGTACCACATTGTACAACAATGCGTACTGTACTTCAACATATGACAAAATGTTCTGATTTTAAAAATTGTTCTTGTATGTAATTTTAAATTGAATTTCAAATTCATATATATAATCAGTTAGAATAGACAAAATCCTTATGAATAAATCAAATGTTATTGATAGGCTCTATTGACATATTCTCGATGTTATAGAGTCAAGGTCAACTTTTGGACGCACTATATTTTATGTTCATTAGTCATAAAAATACGTCAATTTTTTATTAGATACTTTCAGAAAGTTAGAAAAACGGCATTATGACATAATTGATTTACATTCATGTTTAAAGATCTACTTATAAATTGTTTAAAAGAAAAATTCTTTTATCTTTATCTTTTTGTTTTTTTAAGTTAACAATTGTGTTCAATCTCGTCATATAATTCTTCATTGGAAGAATTGTGCAACACCTAATTGTTTTCTATGTGGTTCGTTAAAAAAACCATCTACACTTCGATCACAAAATCCATCAAGTAAAATTCATCTATATAATTTTATTTGAACAAAAAATAAATAAATAAATAACTTTATATATTTTTTTATTTCTTTTAGCAAAACAATGGCAACAAAATATAAATCAAGATCATCGAAGTCATTTAGTAAAAAAAATTACTTCAGCTTTATTAACAACAATTCAACAAGATAATCATCCATTATCATCAGATCGTTTAACACTTATAACAAATTATGCTCAAAAAACAGAAGCTGATACATATAATACAGCTATAAGTCATGAAGATTATTTTCAACGTTTAGCTGAACGAATTTATAAAATTCAAAAAGATTATGAAGAAAAACAATTATTAAAAAAACAACAAACATTAACAACAACATTATCATCAATTGATAAATCAGCTGGTGAACAAGGTCCACCAAATCGTATTGCACCACAAATTGATTATTCAACAACATTTTCAAAAACACAAATTAAAACTGAGTCAGATAATACTTATCAATCAAATTCAACAACAGCATTATCAGGACCTTTTGATCAACATCGTATTTCAACTGATGGTATCAGTCGATTAGCTATTCATAGTAATAATTCAAATACACATGTAGATACAAATGAAAATCATATTGATACAACACGTATTAAAGTTGAAGAAATTCCATCGAATCATGATACAAAAATTCAAGTAAGAGTTTAAATATAAGAATGATATTATTTATAAGATATGTTGATTGATGTAAATTTTTCTTATCACTTATCCATTAACACATAATTATATGAAAAAGAACGTTGTCATAGACAATAAAAAAAAATGTGGATACGCACTTTCTTTTTTTTTCTTATGTACTTGATGATCTTACGATTTTATATGTTTATAAAAATATTCCAAAATCAATTGTTTTAAAAGTTTATTGATATAATCATACATCGCTACTATTTTTGATGATAAATGTTGGTAATAAATAAAATAGTGAAAAAAACAAACAAACAAACACTTTTCATTATGACTAATCATTGATTTAGGTTTAAGCTAAAATAAGACAAGTTATTATTTGG